CCCCCCGCCCCGCCAATAAGTGTGGGATGTGTGTGCGGCGGGCAGGAAAGCCCCCAGAGCCGTGTTCAAAGTTCGCTCACGGACGCATGTCTGGGTGGGTGGGGTGGGTGTCTGCATGAGTGAGAGTGGGTAAGAGGTCATGTGAACTGAGTGCGTGCGTGCGTGTCTGGCTAATGTAACGGACGAAGGGGGTTTCTGCTCAGTGCTGGTGGTTACCACATCAACGTACAGACATAGGGAGAAAGGCAGGGACCTGTCTGACTGTCATGCCTGTGTGCGTGCATGTGTGTCAATACGGGTGCTGCTGCGATGCGAGTGGGAGGGATGGATGGATCAACGACGAAAGAAGTGTACGTAGCACATTCCTGCATACATAGACACAAAGCTAGTTACATACCATCATTTGCAGTGTCGCTTGAAGCCACCCACGCTGATCCATCCATTCTGCTCTCGATCGATTCACCTCGACTCAAGGTACGCATGTGGAAGCCTCTCTGTCTGTCTGTGTCCTTCATGTGCATGAAGACGCCCCTCACGCAAAGGTCAACGAATGCTGTAACTAAGTCTAAGTCTAAGTCTAAGGGAGACATCTAACGCCCGACAGTGAGTGTGTTGTCGTCGCTCTTGACCACCACAAACGGCGATCCGGCCGATGCCAGGGCCTCATCCACAGCAGCAGACGAGAGATACGCGGGGGACTGACGCAGTAGATGTGGGCTGAGTAATTCCTGAGTGTACCCCTCGCTGAAGATCACACGCTGGGGGCCCCGTGTGTTGTCGGTGACGGCTGTTATGAACTCCAGCCGCACATCGCCAAAGCGGTCGTGGACACAGTAGGGCGTGTTGATGATTAGCTGCCTGATGGGCGGCAGGCGGGCGGCGAGGTTGGGCGTCGTGAAGAGGTGGTAGAGGGGAGACATCTGCGGCAGGAACGCCTTGATGTCATCATCATCAGGCATAAAGATCAACACCACCTGGTCCACATGGCCGATGGTGTCAAGGCACTCTAGAGTCAGCTGTGCGAGGAGGCCGGGTGCGGCCTCACGTGGCGGCGGCTGGCCGGTGCCGTAGCTCGTGTCGTATCCGCTGGGGACATCCGTGAGAGCGACGATGATCTTCTCGAGCTGTCCCTTGATCGGCGCGAGCAGCTCCCTCACCCCGCCCTGTCGAATCAAATGGATGGACGGCACCTCGAAGCAGACGGTCTTGAGTCGCGGGAAGCGACTGTATGGGGTCGCTGGGAGCGATGGCAGCACGGCGTCCGGAATGTCGACGGACTCTTCGATGGTCAATAGACTCAGCGACTCGAAGACGTAATCGCGGAAGCTGCCCCTGTCAGCCGCCGGTGCCGCGCTCGACACCGTCTCGACCACCATGGACTCGGCCGCTCGGGCCATCTCGCGGATGATCTTCTTGGCCAGCACGTCAGAGGACGTCAGCTCGAGACGCAGCAGCTGTTGGTCGAAGGAGGCGGGCGTGAGGACGAGCAGCTGGAAGGGCCGCTTGGTGGGCTTCTTGTCTGCCTCTCCGCTCGCATCATCGCCATGGTCATCTCGGGGCACCATGTTGGGAAAGAGGGACGCCTTCCTCCCGCCGCCCACAGCCGGCTCGCACGCAGCTGCAGCGCTTGAAGACGACCGGACCGCCGCGACACTGTCCACCTGCTGGCGCGTCTGGTTGACCACACTGGCCAGAATGTAGTCGTTCCACGATGCCTCGGGGACGGCCGTCACGTGTGTGTCGGCAGCCGATATGCCCACACCAGCCAGCCGATGGATGGCCGTGGCGAGGGCTCGCAGGGTGGTGAGAATGCCATCTGGCTCCATTTGCTCCATGTCAAGGTACACGCCGAGTGTGTGGATGCGGCCGTTGGCTCCAATCGCCCCCTTGGCCTTCAGCACACTCAGCAGCGGCTCCCAGGATGCGGGTGTGTGTCTGGCCTTCAGACGAATGCAGCCCAGCGAGGTCAGGTTGGTCAGAGAGGGGCGGCCGACAGGGATGAGGTGAAACAGGGATGCAGGTGGGTGAGCCGTGGCGACGCCTTGATCCAGGTACTGCGGTACTGGGGCGCAATGGGAAAGCTGGTGATGACGAGTGTCTTGAGGGCGGGGAGGGACCATCGCCGATCATGGGCGACGCCTTGCCACAGTGCGCCGCACAGCACCACTTCCTCAAGCTTGCCGAAGGTGACCTTCGGAGGGCTGTCGGGGGCCGGCAGGTCGGGCGAGAAGGGCGCGGTGATCGTCGTGTCCTCCAGTCGACACTTCTTGAGCGATGCCGCCGAACCCTCGAGCACCTTGGCGTACACTGCCCGATAGCCGAGGGCACGGCGGTGTCCCTCCGTCGCCTCCTCGTTGCCACCCACCACCTGCGGCGGCTCATCCTCCTCTTCTCGCCCGTCGTCACTGGCGGCATCATCGCCTGGCCGATCCTGATCGGGCCCTCGCGAGTAGACCTCCTCGTCTGTGGTGATGGCAGCCGTCTGCAGGTGGGTCAGCCGGCACCGCAGCTGCCGCAGGACGGCCCGCGATGCTCTGCGCCACATCTGGTGGGTGGCGGGGGTGATGATCAGATGGCGGATGACGAACGGCGACCGGCACGTGTCTTGGAGAGTCTTGCTAAGGAGGGAAAGACGGACGGCCTCCAGTGTCGGCAGGTGGTCACACACGTGGGCCAGCTTCTCGGGTGGGATGCCGGACAGAGATGCATTGGCCGGGGCAGGAGACGACCACAATGGATGACAGATGGACAGATCCATGTGTGTGCAGGAACGCTGTGTGTGTTTGACTCACCAGGTTTCGCTGTCTGATGATTTCATGTGCGATGGCTTGAGCCCCCGGGCTGCTGAAATCTGAAACACACACACACACATCGACACAACATTGACAACTTTTCTGTCCATTTCACAGCTCTTCTGCGTCGTCAGTGCCATCGTCTTACCTGTTGGCTGCTGCTCATGGTGCTGCTGAGGCTCCAGATCCGCCTCGTCTGATGCAGCGGCCGGCCGCAGGAACCGACGGATGTCGGCTTGGCAGAGCATTCTTGTGATGTGGGCAGGCCGGCTTGCTAAAGGGTTTAGGGCTTAGGGTACACACCCTGGACTCCAAACCCTGCACAGATCTTTTCGTCTCTCCAAATCATCAAGGATGGTGTCGATTCGTCCTGCAACGTGAGATGGCTGACAAGGCGTAGAGCGGGGGCAATCAAACCAGCATCTCTTCTCATCTGACCGACTGACTGACTGACATGTGTGTGGTGTGTGCAGGATAGACGACCTCCCGGCGATGCAGCACGCCAACCTCTGCTGCCTCCCAGGTAGCTACCACAGACAGACAGATGCACACCAAGAGGCGCTCGCTGCAGGTGTGTGTTTGTCCTTCTCACACGCCTTGACTGTGTTGGTTGTCAGAGAACTACCAGATGAAGTACTACCTCTACCACGCCCTCTCGTGGCCTCAGCTGCTGTACGTGGCGGAGGACTACGGCGGCAAGATCGTCGGATACGTACTCGCCAAAATGTGGGCTGGCAGATGATGTGATGCGTGGGCGGAGAAAGGATGGATGGCGCATGTCGTGTTCGGGGTGCGGTGCATGTTTGTGTGTCAGGGAGGAGGATTCGGAGCAGAAGCACGGCCACATCACCTCCCTCGCCGTCCTGAGGTCCCACCGGAAGATGGGCGTCGCCACCAAACTCATGCAAGCCGCACGTAAGCCATCAGGCGAAGAGGAGAGAGAGAGAACGTCTGTGTGGATCATGGACTTGTGTGGTGTGTGTGTCTGTGTGTGGTTGTTGCAGAGCATGCGATGGAGGAGACCTTCGGCGCCGAGTACGTGTCCCTCCACGTGCGCGTGACCAACAGGGCGGCATTTACCCTGTACCACGACACTCTCGGCTACAGGTGTGGTGTGCGCTCACATGCTCACTCACGTCAGCACACACAGACATCTGCGTGCGTGTCTGTCTGCCTTTGTGGGCTCCCCGTGCCCCATCTGTAGGATCCACGAGACAGAGAGCAAGTATTACGCCGACAACGAGGACGCTTACATGATGAGGAAAATGTTCGACATCAGTCAGTCAGAATGAGCCGCGGGACGACACACACACACACACGTGACATATGCACAGACATCCACGCCTCTTATGCACCAATCTCTGTCGCCCCCGCAGGTCTGAAGAAGGAGGAGGACAAGAGGAGGAAGGCCAACGCCATCAAAGACAAAGACAAAGACTCCCCCGACACACCAGCCAAGAAGCCAGCTGCATCTGCGGCGCTCGAACTTCCTGACGAGCCTGAGCAGCCGAGCAGCAGTGCGTCAATGGGGTCGCGTGGCGGCGACACGCCCTCTCCCATGGTCATGGGGCTGGTGCAGTGCCCTCCTGACGTCATCGCTCGACAGGCCGATGAGGCCAACACACCACAGGTGCGCGCGTGTGTGCATGGGCAGGGAGGCAGGGAGGCGGGCTGTTGTCATGTCATGCTCTGTGTGTGTGTCATGTGATTGTATGTGTGTGGTCAGGGCGGCAACCAGAACGATCTGGATGAGGATGCGGCAAAGAAAAATAAGAGGAAGAAAAAGAAGAAAAAGTGAGTGAGGCGTCCGGGCTGGGTGGGTGGGTGGGGGGGAGTGGCTGATGTGTGAACCCCTGCCATTCCTTCCGTGGAGTTGGGTGTCTGACGAGAATGACATGGACGAAGGGGAGAACCACCCCTTCGACCCATTGCCGTCTCGCTGGACACCAGTCTCCCGGGGGAAATGCTTGAATATTGGACATTGGAACACGCTGACAGTACTTACAGTCATGCCACGTGTGTCTGAACTGGCAATTTTACCAGTCGACTCGGCGAGCGTCCGCCCCGCTCATCCATCAAGTGTCACATCTCAGTGTGTGTCATTGACCCCATGGGCTCTGAAAGGTCCGACTGCCTTTCATATCTAGTAAGTAGTGCCTGTGCGCGAGGATGATGACATGCAGCCACACCAACTCACACAAGCTCACGAGATAAATCGCTTGTCATGCAACAAGTGCGGCACTGAACGACCTCCGATAGCTGCTTTCAGCAGACAAAACTGACTGACACCGCCCCTCAACCCAGTTGTCTGGCTGCACCAGCCATCTGCCAGTGCATAGAGCCCCTACTGCTTGCTCTCCCTCTCTCTCTCTCTCTCTCTCTCTCTCCGTATGTACAGTCACATGACAAGACACAGACGACCCGCCACACAGAAATCGGCCATCTACTTCTTGGTGTCGCCTTTGGTGGCGAAGAGGCCTTGGTATGCCGGCAGTAGCTGCGGCAGGGCTAGCCCGATGCCCACCGTCACCGCACTGCACGCCGCCATGCAGATGGTCATGCCCAACGCACCCAACACACTGACAGACAGACAGACAGACAGACAGGCAAAGGAGACACACACCTGTTGAATGAAGCAGGGAGGTCGGTGTCAAAGCTTTGCTTACGCGAAGAGGTTTTGGGCAGCGAAGGCCATCATCTGCGAGCCGGCGAGCTGCGACAGGAAGATCAGCCCATATATCGTGCCTGACGTCACACGCGCAGTCCACACAGGGATAGGTCAGCCGGTCTCCAGCCGCTCCTCCTCCCTGGCTGACCTACCTAGGTGCTCTCGCCCGAAGCAGATGGCCGTGGCGGCGGGAAACAGCGCAAAGTTGCCGCCCAGTGAGAAGAAGTTGGCACACACCCACAGAGCATACAGAGCCACCGGCAGGGTGCTGCTGAGGGCGAAGGTCGACATCACGACCACCCAGATACAGCTCAAACACACCTGACATGACATACATATACACACACACAGATACCCACCACACACGGCCGGACACACCCTTGCATACGTACCACCGCGAGTCGAAAGTTGGCCCTGTCGCACGCGGCCCCCCAGAATACCCGTCCAGCGGCATTGCAAAGCGAAGCCACCGACCCGATGCTGCTCAGCAGCCGGTCACTCACACCAGTGGGCGCCAGGCCTTTCCAGAACGTGGCGGTGAAGGCTATCGAAAGACCGTTGAGGAAGAACATGAGGAAGAGGAGCCAGAAGGCCCGCTCCTGTACGGCCTCTTTGGGCGGTCTTGACAGCGAGGTGCCGGTTGTGGTGTCGCCCCGCTGGGTGAGGGGCAGCCTCTCAGACGCCCATTCCTTGGGCGGATTCTCCAAGAAGGCACAGCCGATCAGCTGCACCACCAGGTAGCAGCTCGCTGCGTGCAGACCCCACACAGACAAGGGAGTGGACGAATGGTGTGTGGGTGGCTCTTCCGTCCGCTTGCGTATTCTCTGTGCCTCACTCACTCACCCAGGAGGGTGAAGAGGTTTGGGACTCGGTTGAGCAGCGCCTTGTCGCTGAAGTAGAGCTCGCCCGGGTTGGTCTCAGCATATGGCGCGGCGTCCGGCCGCACGTCCTCGGGGTTGACAAACATCGTCTGCACCGGGTTGAACACCAAAGCACCAGCACCAAATCCTGACACATCACATCCAGCAGCGCTGCACCATCTCATCTGCACTGATTGGCAGGGAGGGATGTGAGTGCATGGCATTGCGTGTGCCGACTGACCTGCGGTGATAATTCCACTGATGAGGCCCTTCTTGTTGGGCATCCACTTGAGCGCACAGACGAGGGGCGACGTGTAGGCCAGGCCGATGCCCAGTCCGTTGATGAAGCCGTAGGTCAGGACGAAGGCGGGGTAGGAGCTGATTGCCAGCTGACCCAATGACACACCGATGCTCATCACTACACACCCGAACAGCGTCGCCCTGAACACACACACACACTCACACACGCGCAGACAACAGGTGACAGCATGGCCAGATCTGTGTGTGTGCGAGTGTGTGTCTGTGCTGCTGCTGCTGATCTGTCCTTGTTGTTCCTCAGACTGTGCAGACTAGACTGTGCGTATGTACCATCTGGGCCCGATTCTCTTTTCGATGGCTCCTCCGAAGGGCATGCCGATGCCCTGTCCACTAAACAGCGCGCTGAAGACCCACCCGGTGTCCTTCATCCGCACCCACCCCAGCCCCTCTGCCTCCATCCGCATGTGACTCGCCACGTAGGCATTGAGGTTGCCCCATGTGTAAAGCGTCCCGAGAGTGACGTGGACAAGGACTCCGCCTGCTAGGACAAGCCACGCTTGAACGCCTGGCTCCACAAACCGCGCCATTCGCAGATCTGGTCGGTGCCAGTCGGTTTTCAGGGTTTGAAGATTTTCGGTTAGGGTGCCTTTGTTTTAGGGCGGTTGAGGATTCAAACTACCACACGAGCGGTCATAGGCGGCGAGTTGAAGTTGTTTTAAGCTCCCATAACCGGGAGAAGGCCGGTGCCCGTGTATTCAGCACTGCAAACGACATGACCAAGCCCGGCATCAAGAGGGTACGCGCCACCAAGCCAGGCATCAAAAGGGCATGGCGGGCACCCAGCAGGGCCATACGATGGCATGCATGCCTCTGTCTGTCAGGCGGCGCCCGACGAGCCGCGCAAGTCCCAGTACCAGTTGCGTGGCGGCCGCGGGAGCGACGAGGCGCTCCTGCAGGGCATCGAGTCCGACCGTCGGATGTCCAAGAAGCTCAAGCAGCGGCAGATCGAGGAGCAGGCCCAGCAGCAGGTGCAGCAGGTGCTCAAGGAGTTGCAGCAGCCCAACGCCAAGGGCCGTGACCTGGCGCTGGGCCATGGGGCAGCCCGGCTCAAGTTCCTGGCGCCCGACCTGAACAATCAGGAGATGGTAGACGGCCACATGATGCCCCAGTACCCCTCCCTCAACCTCGCACAAGGACAAGGCGTAAGTCAGCAAAGAGAAACAGAGAGAGGGCGGGGGAGGGAGAGATGGGTGTGGTCATGTTGTGTGGTGTGTCAACAGGATCGGTATGCGGTGTCCGGGGAGTTTCTGAGCAGCTGCGGCGACGCCTTCAAGGAGTTGCGTGGCTACACTGTGGATCGCATCTTCGACGCCTGCAGCCGCATGCGCGTGTGCAAGGAGGCCCTGCCGCTCGCCGTGCGGCTCCTCGACTACTACATACACACACGTCAGTGCAGTCAGTGAGCCATACCGACACCTGCACCACACACATCTTGCCGGCCTTGTGTATGTATGTGTGTCATTCATGTCAGTGTGGGCCAGAAGCGAGAGTTTGTTACAGAGGAATGTGGTAGCGGTAAGTACGGTCACTCACACACACGCACGCCCAACTGTGTGTGTGTGTGTGTGGTGTCATCCGTCCACTCAATGGCAGGTGGGTTACACGTGTTTGCTGATAGCGTCCAAGTACGAGGAGCGTGAGCCGGTGGTCATCAACGACCTCATCACTCTCATGAACGAGGTGCCCATCGGCAAGAGGGACCGCGACTACACACGCATCGACTTCCTCAGGATCGAACAACAAATACTCATGTAAGTCAAGTCAAGTGGGCCACACACGGACACGTCTAAAGAGCCTCTCTCCCTCCCTCCCTCCCTCCCTCCCTCCCTCTGTCATTCAACTCAACGTGTTTGTGTGTGTTGTGTTGTGTTGTGTGCAGGACGATTGGGATGGAGTTGCCGAGCCCAACGTACTGTGCGTTCACCGACCGGTTCGCCAAGGCCGGCAGCATCCCTCTGGACACCAAGGACCACGCCTTCGTGCAGTTCCTCCAGGTGCGTATCCACCACTGTGGCGCACACACATGGCACGGACAGAGAAATGGATGACACACATACAGACAGAGGGATGGATGACGGTGTGGTGTGCACATCTCACCTGCCATGGGGTCTCTCTCCTCTCTGTGATGCATTAATCGCATTGCAGGAGTTGGCGTTGACGGACTACACATTCTCTCAATACAAATCCAAC